GAACTTGCACACTGCATGGCTTCATTCAGAGACGAATGGCGCCCACTCCTGTCTCTGGCACCGATGGTCTCCCTGAGCCTTGTTCAGCTGGGAACAAACATGCTCTTTCCTTGAACCATACTCTTCGAATGTCTCAATGCAAGACATTGAGATCAGAAGTGGAATGGAGGGGCATGATAGCTATGAATAATGTTGGAGTAAGGGGAAGTGAGAGCCATGAGGGAACTATTTCAAAGGAATGGGCCCTTGGCACTGGGCTTTGGTGTGGCCCTGGGACTGCTGGCCAGCTCCAGACCACTGGTCGTGCAGACACGGCTACTCAACAAAGCTGGACGTAGTCTAAGGCAAGGCCCCCTTGGAGAGAAGACTTTCCAAATTAAAAACAAAACCAAAAGAAAGCACAATCAAACCTCTCTCCTCTTTTTCCCACCCCTCATCAATTAGTACAGTCTACACTGTTGAAAAATCACATCTTAGGAACAGCACACACTTTCTGACAGCATCTGCCAAGATTTCCGAGGAGGCTGATAGAAACATGTTCCATTTTCATGTTGGATAATGAGTAGATGGGAGTCCTTGCACATCTGTTCAGGCAAGATAATGATAATATTATTACCAGAGGCATTCTGCTGCAAATACAATCTATTTTTTGTCTCTCCCACCCCCGCCTATATCCTTCTCTTTCCTCTCTTCTCTTCTTACTGTTGTGTCTCCCTTTTTCTCAAATTTCCTTTCTTGCTCTCACCTTTCCCCTTCTCTTTTTACTTTTGTCCTCACCTAGGTGTCCTGCTCAGCTTGCAGTAACCCCAGGGACAAAGGGAGGAATTCCTTTCAAATCAGGAGCAGGGCTGCCAAGAAGGCACCGTGGGCAGGGGTTGGCTGCTGAGATCATGAGAGAGGGGAGACTTTGAGTCCTTCCTTGCAGGCTTGGTGATTCCTACTGTAAAGGACCCGCTCCTACTTGTCAGCAAAAGTCTTTCAGCCCAGTCTGAGAAACCAGACCTGCCCCATTCCCAACATCATCAGCAAAGAATCAAGAGACAGCAATGCAACCAACTAATTCCTGACAACAGATGCAAAGGGTTTAACGTTTTTAACACCTAAGACTGTTTTGCATAATAACAGAATACTTCTGGATACCTAACCAATTTATAAAGAAATATAATTTTAAAACTGTATAAGCACGAAGAATCAGAATGTGGGGTTGAACTTCAAGATCAGGGAGAGTCATCCTTTTGTTTCCCAAATCATTCATTCATTCATTTATTCATGTTCGTCAACAAATATTTACTCAGTACCTACTATGTGGCAGGCAATGATGGTTACTGTCTCATAGATGGAAAGCTATGGTCCCTGCCTTTCAGGGCCTTAAAGTCTACCCCAAGGTTAACTTCTACCAAATCTAAACATAACTTTGGCCCTGAATATATCTTTTACGTGGAAGCAGAATCCACTTGGGGCCTCTTCACTATGGAATTACCTTGGATATGAACATAAAGATGGAATGGTACAATTTTCTGTACTTCAGTCCACTAATCCATGCACCCAATCACCTTTCTATATAACCAACCATCCATTCAGCCATTAATCCATCTACCTTCCACCAATTGATCCACTCATCCACCCATACATCCATCCACCTACACATCCATCACTCATCCATTTGCCTATCCATCCATCTATCCTCTACTCACTCATCCATCATCCTCCCAAGCACATGGTAGGAGGTCATTTATTACTCAATCAGGGAACAGGGCATACATAACCAATTACTGTGGTAGAGAGCTGTGCAAAGACAGAATGCTGGTAGTTGCATGCAGTGTCTGTGCCTGATAATTCACAAGCGAATGGTTTCTGAACACTGGGCTGTAATCTGAGGAGCAGAGATGGGATGAATAGCAAGAACCAGTAACAAGGTTCATAGAGAGATCCCTAAATTTAATCAAGATAGTTTCTGAGTTTCTCTACAGCCTAGGAGATAGCTGCTCAAAGAAGGCAGGCATGGCAGTTGAGTAACAGGGGTTCATGAGTTGTGTTTTGGCTCATGAAAGTCTTCTTTCCACAGAGTTCTTTCTGTTGAACTTTTCCTCAGTATGACAGCATACTGCATCATAACAGTGTCCCTCTGATAATTATTGCTTTCTCTGTGTACATAGAAAAACTAAGGGCCAGTGCAGTGGCTGACACCTCTAACTCCAGCACTTTGGGAGGCTGAGGTGGGAGAATCGCTTGAGCCCGGGAGTTTGAGACCAGCCTGAGCAACATAGTGAGATCTGGTCTCTACGAAAATTTTTTAAAACTTAGCTGGGCATGGTGGCATGCACCTGTGGCTCCAGCTACTGGGAAGGCTGAGGTGGGAGAAACACTTGAGCCGGGGAGGTCAAGGCTGCAGTGAATCGTGATTGTGCCACTGCACTACAGCCTGCTCAACAGAGTTAGACACCATCTCAAAAAAAAAAAAAAAGAAAGAAAGAAAAGAAAAGAAAAGAAAAACTAAGGATAAACATATTCGTGGGCACCTTAAGTTTCTAACATTCTTTCCATCTAAACATGCCTCCCAAAGTAGGCTGGGCACAGTGGCTCGCACCTGTAATCCTAGCACTTTGGGAAGCTGAGGAGGGCAGGTCACCTGAGGTCAGGAAGTCAAGATCAGCCTTACCAACACGGCGAAACCCTGGCTCTACTAAAAAAATAAAAATTAGCTGAGCATGGTGCCAGATGCTTGTAATCTAGCTACTCAGGAGACTGAGACAGGAGAATCCCTTGAACCCGGGAGGCGGAGGCTGCAGTGAGTGAGATCGCACCACTGCACTCCAGCCTAGGTGACAGAGTTAGACTCTGTCTCAAACAAAACAAAACAAAAAACAAAGATGCCTTCCAAATTGGAGAAAAACAGTGCCTGAAATTGTTCCCTTGCTTCCCAAATGTTATATCCCAGTATTTTTCTGGTGGTGAGAATTCTGGCTGAAGTTTACTCATTTCTAGTGTCAAGTTGTTTCTCTCTCTTTTTCAAGTCTGTTTTTAATAATGCTCCCCTCTTCCCATCTGAAAGTCAGGTGGCACATTCATTAGTTGCCTGGAATTGATTTGTCTGTAGTTGAATGAGAGCTGCAAAGGGGAAACTTGGCGCAGCGGTCAGAGCCCTGGAGCTGTCAGGAGTCCTGGTTCCCATGCCTTACTCTGCCACTGAGTCACTAGTGGCCACTGGACCAGGAACTTGGTTTTTCTGAGTTATCGCCTGTCTGCTAAAGGAGAACAGGCATAGGGTTCAGAGGCAGTGCTGGGAGCAACAGACTGGGAGGGAAGAGGGCCTGTCCCTTAACCCTGCTCACAAAACCCTTACTAATGGCAGCAAGTTCTGAGCCTTCCTTTTTTTGCTTCTAAAGTTGGGAAGTGGACCTATAATGTTTAAGGTAATTTCTTATTTATATACATATTTTTTGAGAGATGAGGTCTCACTCTGTCACCCAGGCTGGAGTGCAGTGGCAAGATGTTGGCTCCCTGCACATCAACCTCCCAGATTCAAGCAATTCTCCTGCCTAAGCTTCCCAGGTAGCTGAGACTACAGGTGTGCACCACCATGCCCAGCTACTTTTTGTATTTTTAGTAGAGACTATATGTTGGCCAGGCTGGTCTTGAACCTCAGGTGATTTGCCTGCCTTGGCCTCCCAAAATGCTGAGATTACAGGTGTGAGTTACCACATTCGACCCTAAGACAGTTTCTAATACCTCGAAGCTTAATTCTACTCACTCTTTTTTTTTTTTTTTTTTTTTTTAAGACAGGGTTTCACCATGTTGGTTAGGCTGGTCTTGAACTCCCGACCTCAGGTGATCTGCACACCTTGGCCTCCAAAGTGCTTGGATTATAGGAGTGAGCCATCATGCCCAGCCTAATTCTACTCACTCTTAACACTGAGCATGTTTGATACCTGCAGCAGATCTTTTTTTCTTAAAAAAAAATTTTTTTTTATAGAGATGGGGGTTCCCCTATGTTGCCCAGGTGGGTCTCAAACTCCTGGGCTCAAGTGACCCTCCTTCCTTGGCCTTCCAAAGTGCTGGGATTACAGGCATAAGCCAATGCGCCCAGCCCTGGAGCAGATCACTTTTAACCCCTTGCTCCTCTCAATGAAAATGAAAAGAATTCCAGAAAAAATAATGCCGTGAAACAAATGATAGTATTGGCATTGTGCCCTCTATTTCACTATTTTAAGCTTTAAACACAAATAAAAGGTTCAAATGGTCATGTAGAATGACAGAATTAAAGTAACCAGTCCTGTTTCTTTGTCTTTAGAATCACCAAGCTATCACTTTTTCAAATTTTTAGTTGAAACACAAGAATCTGTAGTAACAGATTGGAGATATGAACTGTGCCCCAAACAAACTCAGATGATTCCAGTAGGGTATGAACAAATATATGCACCTGAGATGCACATATCAGGGACTGGTTGGGTTTATGAGTTTCTAGGATTCACTTGCATGCAGAATGCAATGTTTAATTTTTTTTTTAGTCTTTTGAGAAAGAGTCTCACTTTGTCACCCTGACTGGAGTGCAGTGATGCAGTGATGGCTCACTGTAGCCTCAACCACCTGGGTCAAGACATCCTCCTGCCTCAGCCCCCGAGTAGCTGGGACTACAGGTGCATGCCACTATGCCCAGCTAATTTTTTGTCTTTTTTTTTTTTTTAGTAGAGACGAGGTCTTGCTATGTTGCCCAGGTTGGTCTTGAATTCTTGAGCTCAAGCAAACCTCTGTCCTTGGTCTCCCAAAGTGCTGGGATTACAGGCATGACCCACTGCACTAAGCCTGCAAAGTTCAGTAAAAAATAATAAAAATACGCTAAGTTGAAATTTACATATATATTATTAATATTCAGCCGTATCTACAGCAATTGTTTAGATCTTAGACCAAAAGATTCGGAGGAGAGGAAGAAGTATTTTATTCCTAACATTGTTTAGCATGTGCAGCACATAGTAATAATAAAAAAGCAGGTCAATTCTCAGTCAATTTTAACATTAAATCTTTTTATTTTGAAATAATTTTAGATTTACAGGAGTTGCAGAAACAGTAGAGAGATTTCCCACATATCTTTCATCCTGCTTACATAACCATGATACATTTATCAAAACACAGAAATTAACATTGGTACAATACTATTAACCAAACTACAGAGTTCATTTGAATTTTACCAGTTTTTCCACTAATATCTTTTTTCTCTTTCAGGGCCAAGCCCAGGATAGTACCTTGCACTTAGAGCTGTATCATTGCTTTAAAATTCTTCACAGTTCACAATCCCTCATTGCCTTCCCCGGGGCTGACCACTCCCGGCTCCCTGACTCCACTTGCCTTGATATACCACTGATTCCACTGAACTTTTGTGGTATTGGGGTAAGAAGATTTAATGGCCTCAAGTTAGCAATAGTGTGTTAAATTAAAAAAAAAACAAAAAACAAAAGAAGATCTAATGGCTGTGAAGTCTCATGCTTTGGCGAAAGGAGCTGTTGAGCCTGATACAATATATTCAACTGCCAGAGCACCAACATTTGTACTTTGTCTGGCTGGAGATTCTTTAGCCAGATACTCCTTGATGGTGACTGTTAGGTAAGTGACATTTACAAGGCTTGTCTAGTGCATAGAAATCAGAAAGCAAGGCTTGTTTTAGGCAAATGTGCCACATATCTTGTGAGATAAAGAGACAAAAATATAACTGGTGAAATGCGCTGAAAAAAATCCTGGCTTAGACACTCCAGATGCCTGCTCCACATGAATTCTCCCTTTTTCTTGTCATCAGAATTCTTGTTTTGTTCAGGTAAAAGGTAGCCAGGCTCTTCAAAGGAGGTTGGACTTTTTCTCAGCCTCTCTGAGGATGCATTCTTCATGAAGCTAATCTAATCACATAAATTCCTCTCACTTTGCCAATGACTGGTTTAGGAATGGGCATGGAAACAATCTGGCCAGTAAGGCATGAGGAGAAGTCTGAGGTTTCTGGGAAAGTTTTCTTCGCTCTTCAAAAGTCCCTTTCCTTCTTGTCTGAATTTTGGGTCTTGTTGTTTGAGTTATTCTGTGTTAAAGGATAGAATGCCTGGAGCTGTTGCAGCCACTTTGTAACCATGAGGGGTAAGCTTGTGACAAAAGCAAACAAGTTTCAAAGTGAGAGGATAGTGAGATCCTGGTCTTGGATGCATTACTTATCTCCAGGAATGAACTAACTCTGGACTTCTTGTTATGTGAGAAAATACATTTTTCACTTTGAGGAAAGGATAGTTACTGGAAAGAATTCATCAACACAAAAGCATGCTGTGCTCCATGTAGTTGAGGCTGATGATAGTGGTCATTCTTACACAGGTTACAGCAACAACATCTCTCATTCAATCATGCATTCAACCAATAACTGATGAGAACATAAGATCTGAGACTCCTGTGCTTTATGCTGTTAGAATATGACATTATTCCATGGCAGGATTCATGCCATGAATCCTGAAGGATCGCACCATGTAATGAGGGGTAAAACTCACAGACAAACATACTGATTGCAGGACGACCTGGCGTTACCTGAGAGTTACACACACAAATTGCCGTGTTGATGCTACCAGACTAATGCCATGAAGCTTAGTGACAGAAGAGGTGCACACTCTTTATCTTGAAAGATGGTTAACATTGAGAGGTAAACAAAAAAAAACACAAAGACACAGAGATGGGAAACCACAAGTTCTGTTTTGTAAAGAGGGAGTAATCTAATTTAGTTAAGAGTTGAGGCCAATTGCAGTGGCCCATGCCTATAATCCCAGCACTTTGGGAGGCTGAGGCGGGCAGATCCCTTGATGCCAGGAATTCAAGACCAGCCTGGCCAACATGGCAAAACCCTGTCTCCATTAAAAATACAAAAATTAGCCAGGCATGGTGGCACATGCCTGTAATCCCAGGTACTTTTGAGAGACTTGAACCCAGGAGGCAGAGGCTGCAGTGAGCTGAGATTACTGCACTCCAGCCTGGGTGACAGAGCAAGGCTCTGTCTCAAAAAAAAAAAAAAAAATACTGATACAGTTGAATTCTTGGCAGCTATGGCTACAGAGGTAGAGAGGGACAGGAGGTAGTGCCTGCCTGACCTGACAGTTGTGTGCTTTAGGAAGCCTGAGTGGGCTGAAGTATGGTCGAGCAAAAGGAACCCTGTGCTGATAGCATGACTGGCGGGTCTGAGTCCAGCTTCAGCTACCCACTCATTATGTGGCCCTTGGTCATTCATGTCTCAGAACAGCTACAACAAAGGGTTGGTAATAACTGTCTTGCCTCCCTCACAGGGTGACTGGAAAGCGCAATATAAATGTAAGGGGTTATTTCCTCCACATCCAGATATAACTATATTCACCTACTTTTAGGTCCCTGACTCCATCTGAGGACAGTTTTCCCTTTTGTTCCTATTGCTGGAGCCACCCTCCAGTCTCCCGCCTTGGTTTCATCAATGATCTCCCATATCTCAAGTATTTTCAGTATTTCCCTAACTCTCTCCTGGGTTTTTCTTCTCTGTCTGTAATCTCAAAAATTAAATATAATTTAAAGGTCCTTCTGTAGATCTTCCACAGCACTCCAAACACCATTGATTTCTCTTTCTCTCACAAAACATTTTTTTAAAAAATAGAGCTTTTTCCCACCTCCTTTTCTCAAATTCTACCTACTGTTAAGCCCACTCCAATGTTCAATTAAGTGGTCTCTAAAAGCCATGACAGCTGAATCTGGGGGTTTCATCCCATTCTCGTCCTGCCTGATTTAACCTGTCCTTAATCAAATTCTTACCTCACGGCTTCTTCTACCCCACCTTTCCTTTTCCTCATCTTCCCCATTCTGAGTGTTGGGGTTCACTAGGATTCTGCCGACCTCAGACTTTTTCTTATGCTCTCAGGAACACTTATGTAACCTGATGACTTCAACAGTCCTACTGAAGACGAGCTGAAAATACTTTAGTTGTGATTTTCCCTCCCCAAATTCAATCCAAAAGTTTCCAACCAAGCTGTCAAAGTGTTCTGTGGCTCCTCAACCTCAGCTTGTTCAAAGTGGAGGCCATCTTCTCCTCCTCCCTTAAACATGCTATTTATCTGTTATTCCAAATAATTTTTTTTTGAGATGTTGTCTCACTCTGTCACCAGGCTGGAGTGCAATGGCGTGATCTCAGCTCACTGCAACCTCCACCTCCTGGGTTCAAGTAGCTGGGACTACAGGCACATGCCACCATGCCCAGCTAATTTTGCATTTTTAGTAGAGACAGGGTTTTACCATGTTGGCCAGGATGGTCTCAATCTCTTGACCTCGTGATCCGCCTGCCTCAGCCTCCCAAAGTGTTGGGATTACAGGCGTGAGCCACTGCACCGGACACCAAATACATTTTTTAATGGTCCCACCATCATTTATGTTATCCCAGATGCAAGTTCTGACTCATTCAACACCCATACATAATCTTATATTTAGGCAGTCACCAAACCTAACTAATCTTTGAAATGTTTCTGAAATAGTTCACCTCCCTTTTATTCTTATTGCTACTGTTCTTTGAGAAGTGCTGGCCAGACGCAGTGGATCATGCCTGTAATCCTAGCACTTTGGGAGGTAGAGGTGAGAGGATCACTTGAGCCCAGGAGTTCAAGATCAGCCTGGGCAACAAAGGGAGACCCTGTCTCTACAAGAAGTAAAAAAAAAAAATAGCGATGCACGGTGGTGTGCGCTTATAGTCCCAGCTACTTGGGAAGCTAAGGCAGGAAGATCACTTAAGTCCAGGAGGTTGGGGTTGCAGTGAGCCATGATTGCACCACTGCACTCCAGTCTGGGTGACAGAGACCCTGTCTCAGAAGAGAGAGAAGTATTCATTTCTTTACTGGACTGTTATAACAGTTTCCAAAGTGGTCTTCCTGTTTAAGTTAGGATGGTCTTCCATATTCCTGATAGTTCTCTTCTAAAGACAGATCTGGTCATGCTTAAAAACTTTCCATTCCTTCGCATTGTTTGTAGAATAAAGTTGCAATTCTTTATCACGGTATGCAAAACCTGCTACAATCCAGCTCCATCTTAATTCTCCAAATTTATCTCACACTTCTTTTCTGCATTCTCTATCAGTACAATCTGCCAGCTAAAGGTCCAGCCCAAATGACCTCCTCTTTATATCCCAGACAGAATTAAGTTACCTTTTCCTTGTACTCAGAGTGTGCCTATCTCAGGTTGTTCTTAGAGTCACCATCATCCCACTGAATTGTAATGATGTCTCCGTCTATTCTAAAAGATTGCAAGTTTTAGCAGTGTGTATTAGCTACCCCTTGCTGTATAACAAATTACAAAAAATTTAGTGGTTTAAAACAGAAAATATTTTTTCTCTCCCAGGTGCAGTGGGTCAGGAATTCATGAGGGGCTTACCTGGCTAGTTCTGTCTCATGGTCTCTCATGGGGTTGCAGTCAAGAGATCAGCGGGGGCTGACATCATCTGAAGGCTTGACTGGGGCTGGAAAATCTGCTTCCAGGGTGGCACAATCATATAGCTGGCAAGTCAGTGCTGGTTGCTGGCAGCAGGCCTCAGCCATATGGAGGATTTCCCTCCACAGGACTATGAGTATCTTCACAATGTGGCAGCTGGCTTCCTCCCGAGGGAGTGACCCTAGGGAAGGAATGCAGAAACCCCGAGTGCCTCTTATGGCCTATTCTTGGAAGTCACACACACTAACCCTAACCCTAACCTTAAGTCCAGCCCACACTCAAGGGGAGGGGAATGAATTGCCTCCTACCAAAGGGAGGAATGTCAAAAAACTAGAGGACAGATACTCATATACCATGTAATGATGTTCTGGTCAATGATAAACAACGAATATGAAAGTTGTTCCATAAGATTGTAATAGAGTTGAAAACTTCTATCAGCTAGTGATGTCAGAGCCACTGATACACTGTAGTGCAATGCCTTAACCATGTGTTTCTGGTGATACCGGTGTAAATAAACGTACTGTGCTGCCCCACAGTATAGTACAGTACAAAAGCATAGCACAAGGCTGGATGCAGTGGCCTGTAATCCCAGCACTTTGGGAGGCCAAGATGGGCAGATAACTGAAGGTCAGGAGTTTGGGACTAGCCTGGCCAACATGGTGAAACCCCATCTCTACTAAAATATAAAAATTAGCCAGGGGTGCTGGCGGGCACCTGTAATCTCAGCTACTGGGGATGCTGAGGCAGGAGAACTGCTTGAACCTGGGAGGAAGAGGTTGCAGTAAGCCAAGATGGCACCGCTGCACTCCAGCCTGGGCAACAGAAAATCCGTCTCAAAAAACGGCGGATCACTTGAGCTCAGGAGTTCAAGACCAGCCTGGCCAACATGGTGAAACCCTGTCTCTACTAAAAAATACAAAAATTAGCCTGGTGTGGTGGCACACACCTGTAGTCCCAGCTATGGGCTGAGGCATGAGAATCACTTGAACCCGGGAGGTGGAGGTCGCAGTGAGCCAAGATCTCTCCACTGCACTCCTGCCGAGTGACAGTTAGACTCTGTCTCAAAATAATAATAATAGTAGTGGAGATAACTGTTAAATTGAACCATCTGAAACACCGGTATTCCACAGGTTTTACCTATAAAGAAACAAGTTGTATAAAGTTCAACCTCAGAGATGTGGCTGCAAGTTGAAAAACTCAACACATCTTCACGGATGGAAAATCGAGGTGCTTCAGAGTTCTTGATCTTTCTGTTCCTCACAAGACTAAGGTTCAACTTTGAGACGGGTTAGTCATGAAGCGAAATGAGGTCTAGTCCAATCTAGGCGTGACTTTTTCATTTCCTTGAGAGTCAGATAAGGGAGTTACAGACCCAATACTAAGCCAGGGGTGCCGGCGGGCACCTGTAATCTTAGTATGCTAAGTAAGGTGGAGTGTAAATTGAGGAAGTAAAATTTCTCTAGGAACTCCATCCTGTCTCAATTTACATTTCACCCTCTGCCACTTTTAAGAAATCATATTTACTTAGAAGTGAAATAACCATGGACCTATTAAAAAATGGAATAGGAATAGCTCCTTGTTCATTATGTATTTCTGTACGTCTAGAAAGTAATTGACTCCTTCATTACTAGTAGGATTAAAACCAATATTTGCAAATGCAAATTAATTTATTTAAAACACCTTTTGTCCTTCCAGGAGTACTTATAAGACTTAAACAGAAATTTTCAATGAGAAAGTTCCTTTTTTGCTTTTTCTATTTTTCCACTTCTTCTGATTAATATTTAAGGTAGACTTTGGGTGAGATGTGTCTAATTAATTAATGATGGCGGGAGGGTCCCAAAAGTTATTAGGGCAAAACTGCATTCATCCACCCTCTCCCCGCATTGGAACGAAAGCTCCCCTCGGGCAGGGTCTTCCGGTTGTTGATCTGCGCATTCATACAACCTGAACCGTACCTAGCCCACTGCGAGTTCTCGATCAATACTTGAGTAATGTCCATTCATTGATCGTCCGTGTAGGGCGCCGTTGCCAGCGAGAAGGCCGGCCCGCGGCTTCCCTGCCTCCCTGCCTCCGCCGCACCCGCGCTGCCCTCAGCCTCCGGGGCCACAGCCCGCCGCCCGGGAGCATCCGGCTGCCCGGCCACCGCCGGGACGCTCGCGGCCTCCAGGGAGGAAGGCGCGGAGCGAGGAGTGGGAAACCTGGGCCCACTTCCTGTCCGGGCAGGCCCGGGCGCCCGCCTCCTCAGCGGCCTGCTCTCTCCGCCGTGAGCAGCCGAGCCCGGGGCCCAGAAAATGCGGCGGGGCGCGGCGCCGGCGCGGGGCGAGGAGGAAGCAGGCTCCGCTCGCCACCCCCGGCCGCCTCCGTCCCGGCCGCCCGCGCATGCCTCGCGGCGAGAAGGTTAAGCGCGCGGGGGGCGGGGCCGGGCGCGCCGAGTGCGGGCCGCGGGCGGGGCGGGGGCTGCGCTCGGGGGCGGTTCCGGGCGGCGGGGGCGGGGGCGGGCGGAGGAAGGGGGCGGGCCCCGAAGTTGTTCCGCGCTGGGCGGGCGGGCGGCTGTGGGAGAGCGGGCGGCGGGCCGGCGGGCGGACCGGGCCGGGGCTGGAGAAGTTTGCGCTGCGGTTCCTGAGCGCAGGGTGCGGGCCCCGCCGGCCGCTGCGCGCCCGCTGCCATGGCTTTCCGCAGGAGGACGAAAAGTTACCCGCTCTTCAGCCAGGAGTTCGTCATCCACAACCATGCGGACATCGGCTTCTGCCTGGTGCTCTGCGTCCTCATCGGGCTTATGTTCGAGGTGAGAGCCTGGGGAGGAGGGAGCCGGAGGGACAGTGCCCCCTGTCGTGCGCCGCCCGCACACCCCTGCAGGTCGGCGGACCCTCGGTCTGATCGCGGGCTTCTGGCTGCCGTGTACGTTATCGACACCCCGGCTTTGTGCACTGTACCCCGCCGGCCTGTACCCCGGCCAGCCCAGACAGCGCCCCCAGCTCCACGCCGTGCCAGCCATGCCATGCTCAGCCGCCCCTTGGGCACTCACCGTATCCTGCAGCTCTATCTGCAGCCCTGAAACCCCAGCCTGGCCTCGAACCAACCGCCGCGCTGCCACCCTGGCCCGACGCGTGGGGTTTCCTTTCTGGCGTCCGGGAGCCCAGCCCAGAGACTCCCAGACCTGCAGTCATTGCACAACCCCGCTTTCCCCAAGGGGTGGCCACTAGCTCTTCTGGGCTTTTCCAGTGGGAGGGACCCTGACCCTTTTCCACTTCCTATCTGATTTTCTGGGTGTTTTGCATCTCAGCTTTGGAACGTGCTCGGATGTTCACGTGTGGCCCTGGCCCCATCCCAGCGGTGGCCTTCTGCGCTCCTCTCGCTCCCACTTTTTTTGCTGTGCTCTAGAAGGCCAGTTTTTGATATCCTTTACCACTCCGTGGACTGCCCCTTTAGATCCAGCTGCTGCGACCCAGAGCTTCACCCCCTTTACAGGGACAAGAAGAGAGACAGACAGGGATACCCTCAACTTTTGGGGGAAAGGTGATTCTCTTAGAGTGTAGGAGTTGGGGGCAGAGGATGGGGATCCCACCCCTAACAGCAGTGCCCCGGTGTCCGCTTCTGAGACAGGGAGTTGTAGAAAGCCAGCAAGGGGTCAGAATCCACGAGACTGATGGGAAGGATTCCCTACTCTTGCAGAGCAAGAAAAATGTGATATTCAAAAGTGGGAAGAACTGGAGGAAGCTTGGCATGGGTTTGCTGCGGTGTATCTTGTGTCAGAAATGAAATATATGAGCGACATTCCCGTCACTCTCACCGTGGTCTCCTCTGGTTCCTGAGACTCCTTGTCAATTCCCTTCTGGGTCAGGTTGCTTATCTGCATTCTCACGGTTGGGTTAGGAAGCAGTGACCATTTACAAACTTCCTAGGAGTTACGGAGGCCTAGCCTGGCTAATTTTCCACCCTGTCCCTCTGTCTCCAGGTTCCCTGTATCTCTAGGAATGACAAGGGCCCTAATTGGCTGGCGAAGCTGCCCTCAAGCTGGGGACATTCTTGTGATGGCCAATTTAGGGTTGGATGAGCGAATGTGTCTGTGGCTGGGCTTTAGGGTCTCTAGGAAATAAATAGTGGGACTAGGATTGGGGTCTCCACTCTACTTTTTGGTAGTGCTGCTTTAGTTCAGCCCCTTTCTCCTTCCTCTCCCTCTCACAGCTCTCTCTAGTGGTATATTGGATTGGTCCTTGGTTCCACCTTGTTCTGGGTTCTCCCCTGGAAGTGTGTGGTGTCACACAGAGTCATATCCCTGTGTCTCAGTCCCTATTCTATGACTAGTCTGACTGAAAACTGACTGCAGCCTCAGTTTCTCCATCACTAAAGACGTTCATAAAACTGGTCTTCCTCACAGGATGATTGTAAGGTTTAACTGAGATCATGTCAGCAACAAAAGCCGTAACATCTCCTGCCAACATGAAAAAGTCTCTTGCACCTGGAGCCCTGTGATTATTTATTATAATAATAGCTTAACAAAATTAGAGAATTTCTCTAGCCCAGCGCATTGTCTCCTGTCTGTTTGCTGTCCTCCATTCTAAAAGGCCTCCAAGTGTGTGTCCCCAGCCTTGGAGGGTGTAGCTGGAAAGATACACGTGACAGCTGTAAACCTCAAAGCCACAGGCTCTGCAGCGGCCAAGTTTCTCGCATAGCCTGTGGCTCTCTCTGTCGTATTTCTAGCATTTGTTAGGGTTTGTGGCCTTACCTGCTTTATCTTTGCTCAGAAAGAGTTTGAGTTTGGTACCTACCTCCTTCCCCTGGTCTCTAGTCTTGTGGGAAGTCCTGTGTATTAAACTTGCCAGAAGTTGAAAGGAGCTAAGAACTTTTACTCCCAGTACCTAGTGGAAGAGAAAGGCCCAAGATGAGAAAAACAACAAACAAACAAAACTACTCTTATTCCCCCCCCCACCCCCACTCCTCCCACCCCCACTGCCCTTAGACTCCGATTGGGGAGCATAGTAAGGTCCTTGATTGAAATGCCTACAGGCCCCCTTTTCCTGCCATCCCCATCACTTCTTCCCATAGCACCTTGAACCTACAGGACCTACAGGGCAGGTGTGTCCTTTTGAAGGTACTTTGTGAGATCGGTCTGTGCTTTTCTGGGAGAAAGATGGCTTTGCCTTAAGCCTCCAGTAAGAAGGTCTTAGTGTTCTCTGTGCCGGGAACAAGGAGGGGTCTCACTGCCTTTACCCACCAACTAACTTTCCACAGAGATAAGTATTCCTGGGGGTGGGAAGGGGGAGTTTGGAACTGCTGCCTCTATCAAAGGAGAGCAGAAGCATCCTGGATACTGTAGGGACCACAGAAAAACAAATATGGGTATCTTCACACTCAGAGCAAAGCAGGGGGAGGCACCTCATAACCCAGCACAGGACTGGCTGGATATCACTTAGGATCATCTGGATTTTCCTCTGAAGTGTGCGGTATGCATGTGTGGGTATGTGTGGATGCATATGGTGGGTTAGTAGGAGCAACTGAGGACTCACCACCCTTTTCCCAGAAGTGATGATAGGAAGAGGTGCCAGGGGAATGGGAGGAGGGGGTGAGAGGACATAGGCTCTTGGGGTTCTGACTTGGCCCCAGCTAGGATTCCTTCATTCAGAAGCTGAGCCAGGAAAAACCTAATTATAATTCTTCCCACAGAGCGACTCTCCTGGCCACTCCTCCCTCTGGGGTCCTCTGCCCTGCCGCTGCCAGTGAGCTGGGTCCCTCTCCCCCTACCAGCCCACGCCCCGGGCAGCCACAGCCCTTGCGTCTACATTGCCTCCCCGCCTTGCTCTTTCCCCAACTCACTGGTCACCTCTTCTGCATTAGGGGACTTCTGTTTCCCTCTCAGGGACCCCAGGACTTTAGTTATCTGTCTCCAGGAAGACAATGACTCTAAATTATTTCCCCTGGGATCATTTCCTTTTGGGAACACACATGAAAGGCTGTCTCTTCCCTCACCGCCCACCCCTATCGCTACCCCAAATTTGGTTTAGTTTTGGGCCATCCTATTTCCAAGGCAGGGGGCAGCTTTTTCACCCTGCACCCAGGTTTTCTCCCAGTCCTACAGGCTGCTTGGAGTAGAGAAGCTGCTCTGTGCGGCCACAGCACTTGGCTAAAAAATGTCAGGAATGTGGAACTTTATTTTCCCCCTCCTTCCTTTCCACCGTCAAGTCCGCTTTCAGGAGAGGTGGCACAAGGGGGAGTTTTTTACTCTACTCTTTGGTCCTTCTGCCCTGTCGTAGGTGGAGTCTGGCCTGACCATCATCCACTGTGTAGACAGCTGGTTGGGGGGTATGTGTGTCAGATTTGAAAGTAACCTCCTCCCCCTCCCTTGTCTTCCCCTTCCAGTGTCCTGGTCTGTGCCACGTTTCAAATTGAAACAGGCAGGGGAAGAGGAAAAGTCTTTCATTAGCAAATGAAGAATGAGGATAAAGGGGGTGTACCGAAGAGAGAGGAAACAATTTATATACTACCTTTAAAATGTCATTTCAAGACTGAAGCTTTTTTTAAAAGCTCATTTGCAGGCTCTGGCAGCTGCAAGGAAATGTTTCTACACTTCTGAGCCTGTCATTTGTAAGTTTGGTTTCTTTTCGGTCTGTGATGACTTAAAGGTTTAGGGACCCAGAGGAGCTCTTGATGGTGGCTGGGTTTTGCCCTCTAGGTGTTTTGGAGGCAGATTTGGCAGATTTACCTTTTCTCCAGGAACCACCTTCTTTCCTGCTCCTGACACTGTGATTGACTTGTCAGGGTGAAATGTTTGCAGCATTTACAATGGGAGTCCATTACGTCACCACCTGCTAGTACATGGCTTCCATGGCACTGGTTCACATCCTCTCAGACATACCTGTATGCGTCATAACCTGAAATGCAGCTGCAGGTCCTGTCTCTGAATGTTAGCAGCATCATAAAACAATTCTGCTTCTATTGTGTTAATAGAAAGATGTATGTAAATGGCACACATATACATCTGTGGACATGGGTCATCGTTCTTTGATTAACTTCTTTTTTTTTTTTTTTTTTTTTGAGACGGAGTCTTGCCCTGTAGCCCAGGCTGGATGGAGTGCAATGGTGCAATATCAGCTCATTGTAACCTCCATCTCCCAGGTTCAAACAATTCTGCCTCAGCCTCCTGAGTAACTGGAATTACAGGCACCTGCCACCACACCCAGCTAATTTTTGTATTTTTAGTAGAGGTGGGTTTCACCATGTTGGCCAGGCTGGTCTCGAACTCTCGACCTCATGATCTGCCTGCCTTGGCCTCCCAAAGTGCTGGGATTACAGGCATGAGCCACTGCGCCCAGCCTCTTTGAAACTTCTAATGCACTGTTAAAGAAGTGCCTTTGTCAGCTTTTCTAGTTCCTGACTTCATGCATCTCCCTTTTAGCCTTTGGCTTACTCTATCCATGGTGTTCTAGAGAAGTTAAACAGGAAACCAAGGAGGGTCACTTATTCTCTTGAGTGCTCTTCTTCTGTGGTAGGATTTCTTTACGCATGCCTCTATGATATGAGCAGCAGAGCAGAATATTTGGAGCTAGATTTTCTACTGGTCAAGCCTTAAGTGTAATCCTATTCTATGGGATGTAAGGGCCTACTGATTATTCCCATTTCTTTCATTGGCACAAATGTGATATCTAGAAAAATGACATTGATCGGTTAATGACTTTTTAACCCTAACTGCCCAGTGAAGGCTGATATGTGTAAAAATACCCAGCAGTGTGCCTGGCCCATGGGCGCTTAATCAATGGTCTCAACAAGTACATGGATGACTATTGTTAT